AATTGAACGCAGATGCAGTTCCAAAAGGTGTGCATACTTGTGAGACAGTCAGTGTAATTGATCAGCGTGTAGCCCACCTATCATCAGATGATAGTGCTAAACCCGAACTAGTAGTGAAAGACAGCAGTGGTGGTAATCTTGCAGTTGGACAACTATCTGAGAGCCGAACAAGAACAGCTTCTGATCCACCACTAAGTTCATCACCTTGTGTCACTCAGTCATCGTTGGTGCTGTCATCCACAATGAAACAGACACCCATCAACTCAAGTATCTTGTGCAATGACTATGGTAGTATCAGTTCGTTTGAAAGGACGAATATCAATGGTCAGTTTAGTGTGGATAAGCCAAGTGTAAAGGAGAGAGTTATTGTTAAATTGACTTGCACGAATAAAGGCATTTCTAGTTTCAAGTTACTATTTGAATGTTATTATCTTTGGTGTAAATTACTCTGTTTCTATACTTGGTTGATGAGATATGTCGTGTGTTTGTTGGTCATCTATATTCTACGATACAATGACATGGGCGTGTTGCCGTTCAGATTTGAGGATATAGCTGATAGAAGGAAGTTAGCAAATGAACTCTGCGACGATTTTCCAACCTAGGGCGTCAACCTGAGAAGGGTTGTAGGCGTACTGGTGTAAGTCCTACAGTTCTTCAAAGGGTAGCGCATCAATGAGCAGTCCAATGTGCTTGGTGTATGATCTTGTACATATGTTCATATTGTATATACTGAATTGATATCATCTGTCATCTAGCTGTTGGTAATTCTGTTTGTGTCCGGACGACTTCCACTTGGATCATCAACCTGAGAAGGAATGTAGGCGTACTGCTGTAAGTCCTACGGTTCTTCAAGGGTAGTTTGTCGTGTCAGAATCCACAACATTTGATGTGTTGATTGTACATATGTTTGTGTTAAATAGTTGTGTGAGTTCCAATTGATGTAATTGTTGGTTAATCTTGTTTGTGTCTGGACATTCCACAACTTACAATCGTCAACCTGTGAAGGGTTGCAGGCGTACTGGTGTAAGTCCTCCAATTCTTCAAAATAATTCCACCAAGACATGATCCGCGAGGTTATTTGTACTGTTTGTGTATACGTGTGGTGTGTCTTCGCAATTTGTGATTTTGGATCAGTTGTGTTTACTCGTTGTTTTCGTGCCTTGTTTTTATTGCATAATTTTGTTAAAATTTTCGTCGTGATTACTTCTGAAGTTGTTTCTTGTCTTCTACATCCGTGAATGAATTGATTGATGTTAGAGACAGCAGATGGGTCGTATACGCCGGGGAGGCTAGGCTATTGCTGAGAATGAAACGCACACGGAGATAATTGTTAGCTGCGGTCCGACACGCCGGGGAGAAAGAGTGTAAACGACTGAGGCTCGCATGCGTCACCGCTACTAGAACTGAGGCAGAATGAGTGACAAGCGATTTCAATGGTAATTGGTAGTGAGTAATAAGAGGATGTGCGTAGAGTATCGTGAGGTGCTGCCATGGTCACTTTGCATTCTGCAAGAGTCATTCTAGCAAATGGCGATTGTGTTGCAAGATGTCAAGAGGAGGTCTCTATCTGGAGGCACAGGTCGTCATTGATGTGTGAGATTGTGCTGTGGGTATGCTTGTGGTGTGTTGGCTTTTCTGTTTGTTTTCCATTTCAGCTCTGTCCGTGTGACCCAGGTTCTCGCAATGGCATCCAAGTCGACGTGCATTGGTCGTGAAGGAAAAAAGGGTTGGAGCCCTATTTTGCCGGGGAGTGTCAATGGAGTTGAAGATTGAACGATCAATTCTTGGTTGTTTGCTCAAAATCAACTTCCCCAATTTTCGCGGAGGCATCAATACGACAGTCATCGTCTCATCGGTCGCTGTTCAGAAAGAAGAGTGAAACATCGTCAGAAGTAATCTTATGATTTATTATTGTAATATTTGTTTTCAGACCTTAGTTCGCTTATTCCTTTTATATGTTGGTGTAACAATAAACAAATCTCACGCGGCAGATCGGTGTTTTGGTTTTTGCGTCCGTTATAACTAAGCGTTTCAGAAATCTTCGAAGAACAGCGTGGGCCCGAGCGCAGCGAGAGCTGGGCATTAACGGTTTATGAGACATGATTGACAATGGCAATGAGCTATTTACCTCAACTTCATTGTTTTTGAAAGACTTTTGTTTCCATTGGTGATGAAGTTATCAGAAGGCATCATCAACTCTGCGGAGTGCCGAAACTTCTTTTCTATATCACGTGGTTTGTATTTCCGCTGTTTATGGATTTTGAACTCTCATTTGTTGGTGACACTTCTTACTTGTGAGTAAGTTTATTGTTTGTTATGGGAATTTAGAAGCTGTATATTCAGCATCACACTAGAGTGCTTGACAGTTATTTGAGAGAGTAAGACTGGTCCATCTTCCCTCTTCTTTTCGTGTGTCGGGTGGTGTGGATGCTTTTGTTGTGGTTGATGTTGCTTTTGACGAATGGAGTAGTTTCTGTTTCTGCTTAGGTTCATATATCTCTCAGCATAGTAGTAGGTATTATCGGTCATATCCAAAAGAGTCAACACCCTTGCCATTTACCTTAAGGTCAGGAGTTCTCTTGTCAGCTTCATTGTCTTTGAAGAGGCCTTCAGTTGCCTCTACCTCAAAGTAATATAGCAAGTGCTTCAACACAATTGAATGCTCCAAGCAGTGATAGACATCATTCTACGGCTATATTACGGTACTGCATGTCATGTAATCTACAACAAATAGCTCACTGAAGCGTCCGAGGTGAAGACAAAACTACTTACCATCACTGTTGATGTCCCTGGTTGTTGTGAACTGTACCGTATCGCCAACCGTTAAGGGTGAGCAGGCGAACATACGTTTTACGACAAAAAGACTTAAGGATATTGATTTCGTAGGCGATCTATGTCTAATGTCTCACACTCAAAGATTTCCAAGCGGAAACTGACAAGTTGGCAGAAGAAGTAAAGAAGAAAGTTCTTCTAGTTAACATAGAAACGAGGAAGTGATGAAGATGTCCAACAGACAACAACAAATACCACTCACCATTATTTGGAGAAATCCAGATGAAGTTGTCTTTTGTATTCAGTCGAATAGGCAGCACATTTGAGGATGTCAGAGGCATAATCAGGAAAGCGACACAGATGTTTATAACTCTGAAATCACTGCGGAAACCTGCATAGTAGAACAGGATCCGGATCTTCAACACTAATGTCAAATCAGTGCTTTGGTTCAGAGACATGGGTGTAAAAAGTTTTCCATTTTTACTAAGCAGAGGCGTTCCACTGTTGATGACATACATTTACTCATTTCCTCCTCCACATTCATGTCTCCGTTCTTTCGGAATTCTACTTTTCACTTCATTTTGTATGTTCCAATCTTGCTGTCCTAAACTAATGTATTCCCGTACGGAAATCTGCATTAGAGAAAATTATGGAGAGTATCATCTTTTGCATCAGTCGCTTCGTTAATTTGAATACATATATCATGAGAAAGTAACTGTACTTGTTGCGCGACTGAGTTTCAAAATAGAAATCAACAAAGAAGTCAATCAAGTCTCATACACTGTTAATGCTCAGCTCTCACCACGCTGCATCTCACGCTGTCCCTCGAAGACTTTCAGAAACAATGTGTTTTGACCAACGCAAAAACCAGAACACAGATTGGAGACTCAAGAATCCTTTATTCTTACACCAACATGTAACCAACAATAAGGTCATTACACAAGGCCTGAGAACAAATGTTATAACAATAAATCACGATAATACTTCTGATAGTTTTTTATCTTCTACTGAACGGCGAACGATGAGACGATGACTGATGGATTGATGGCTCCGCGAAAAATATGGAGGAGTTGGGTTTGAGCAAACAACTATGAATTGATCGTTCAACCTTCAACTACGTTGACACTATTTTTAATAGAATAATTTGCAGGACGTTGGTTTAACTCCAAATTTTTAATCATTAATAAACATTTTGTCAGTCGACGTCTCGCAGGAATTACAAGAGGTTGCGTTATTGGAGAGTAATTTAATGAGATGAAAACTATCATGATAGCACTAAGTGGGTTTCCTATTCCCTCTTTTTCAGTAAAGAGAGCCGACGTGGCCGTTTTAGAGCAGTAAGAAGACTGTTTATCAAAACTTGTTATAAATGACGATAATTAACTTGCACCCGGGCAATTCGAGTCTTGCTTGGTGGAAATAAGGAGTGAGGATATAGGCCGACACCAGGTGTTATCGCGCAATGCCATCGGTTACCGCGCTCACGTCAACAGACGTTATAATCACCTATTTTTGTTGGAAATAGATTATATTTGACTAGTTTTAGACTTCTGTAGCCGGATGGCAGTATTTTGCTGTATTTTGTTCTTAGTAGAGCGTAAAATTGTATATTATAGCTCGGACGAATTATCAATGAAGAAGTCATCCTTTTTAAGAAAGTTCGCGTAGAAAGACTATTATTTGCATTATAGTGCGTTGAGGGTTTGTTTTTTTTCGAGTTGTTTCAGATCTTAAGGTTGTAAATATACTGCAGTCAATGGCTGTTGTCATTCCAGTGAATCTATTAGAATCTGGCCTATGAAAGATAAATAGCATGCAGGCATAGGTTAGATGTGTGCTTTGAACATGTTAAACTTTTCTGTTATCATCCGGGATGACTGAAATATTCCATAACACATTGACGACATTATGCGATGAATGAGACAGGCTGCTGAATTTCCTGTTGATTATATCTATTTTGATGAAGTTCCTAGTTAAAAGTGCTTGGGCGAAGATGTAAAAATAGTGTAATTGACATTTGCACATGGAATTTCACAAGGCCTTAATTGCTCAGTGCATGAAATGGCATCAGAGTATATTGACATCAGTGTTCATTGTGTCTGGAAGAATAGTATAAATAGTCCTTTTCAAATGTTAAGTTCAGTCTTCCTAATTTACGCTCTTTTTGAAATATGGAGCACGTTAATGGTGCAGAAAATATCATGAACACTTCGCATACATGATATTAACTGCCAGTAATTGTGCCATCGAATGATACTACAAGAATACATTTGATAATACTTTTTTAGTGGTCTGAGGGACAAAAATACTAGAGCGAAACATACAGGCTAGATGAAAGTCCCACAAAGCTGTCTCACTAAAATACAATGTCTCACTCGTGGATTTCCTCTCCGCATGTGAACGTATCCACATACTGCTATGCGGAAAAGTTCATCACTGTTAGCAATATATAAGGTTCACGCCTTTTGAAAGTCTTCTAATGCGTCTTACATATGTTCTGCTTGCGCTCGCACTGATAACCTGCGATGAAATTCTAGAAAAAGGGCTCATTAGCGAAGCACATTATTGCCACAGCTTGTCATAGCTAAGTCGCAAGAAACACAGGATACCAGACTATGTAAGTGAGAAATCACGAAGTAGGAAATACTGTACCTATAACCACAACTCAAGAAATGCATTGGCACCCACGGGATGCTAGTTTATGATAGCAACCATAATGCCTGACCAGTTTTGAGGGAGTTTACAACGAAAAGAGAAGTGTACCTGTGTAAAAAAACAGTGAAACAATGTTAGAATAGTCAAATATTACATCCATGTTTGTCAAAGTTGCTTGTAAACGACGCATAACACAACCACACAAAACCTCACACGATACGACCTACCAAGGACAAATCAAGTATCCAATTGACCGCCATCGTTCTAGCCAATGAAAGACGAAAAAATCTGAGTCACGGAAAATATAACACGTCATGACGTATATCCTCACCCGTAAGAAGAAAGATGATACACAGATGATAGAGTAAAACACATTGAATGCAGAACTTACAATCATTATCAGGTACAGAGATTTTGAAGGTTTTTAAAATTTCGCAGTAGATGGGAAGCACAGTATTATTTTCATTTTGGCACAATTGTAGGACCAACTTTTCGACGGTAAACAGATTTCATGATGGAGTTTATTCCGTTATTCATCATATGTGCTAACAAAAATCTGAATATTTAACAAATGTAGCTTCTAGTGACTTCAAACTCCGTTCAAGTGATACAAACGTAGAAAGCAGCATTACTGTACATTTACAGTGCCCCCGTGCAGTACCTTTGAAAAGAGTAGACAGCAGGAAGCAGCAAGAGAGGTGCAGCCGCAGCCAGGAAATAATAATAATTAAAAATGAACAATATATGACAAACACAGAGTTCATTCTATTTTCATAACCAAGAAGCTATAGTCACTGAATTTTACAGTTTTTCGAACTAATGATTAATCCAAGTTTATAGTAGTGAAAATGGGAGAGGAAAAATTGAGGATGATTGTCCCCACCCATATAGGATAATGGCGGGGATAGATCCTGGAAAAGGAGTTAATCGCAAACGTCAAAATACACCAAGGTATGTGGAAGAAAAGAGAAAGTTCAGTAACATTTATGCTGTTGTTCTGATTCATGCAGTAAGATGTCCTTCTGAAGTAGAAAAATCATACCATGCGCTTGTATTCACAGAGCTTATACCCGAACTGTGCCATTCAGACAGCTTTATCTTCCTTTTTGCTGAAGTTATTCATAGTCAGAAGCTTTAACAATACAGCGCTTTCTCACAGATACGGGTGATTCTCTTAAGTTCTCACTATCATATCTTCTGAATATCAGTCGCCACCCTCCCACCTTTTAATCTACTAGGCCCTGAGGAAATACCACTTCTTTAAAAATTTTGTTGTTATGTGTCATAGACTGTTTTCGGATTGACTAGCCAACTCGACAAAATTCATGGTATGACAGACTATTTTCAGCCATTGATCCTGTATGTCTTGTCTGTTAGAGCATTTCAAAAACACATATGTAGAATAAAAATGCAAAAAACCTGAAGGTTATAGCCAACTTCTGGACTTTTGAAATGAACATACGGAAACAAAGGGGTAATAAGGAAAAGTATGAAAAACACTGCATAACGGTACTTCATTATAAATCCATGCATAGAAAAAGACAGTGGCAAATTATAGTATGCGGTTCAGAAGAATTGGACTACAAATGGTTACAGTAACAGAACGGTGAAATCAAATCCGTTAAAATTTAAGACTGGCCGTGTAGTCGAGTTGATTATCTGGACGATGCCATGTGGGACTGGAATTTGCGTAGACGTAGATGGTGTTTGCGCACAGCACTAGGTAGTCACCATAGGGGACTTTAATCCCAGTCATATTCAGGTTGTTTACTGCTCGACTTTGAGTTAGAGCTCTTACCACACTGAAATGCTCATAATACAGTGCTGTCAGGGACACTTGCCATAATATCTGAATAATTCGACAGTGAGAAGCTGGGATATAATGGAGTTGAATGACTTGAAAGTTGCGACAGATGGGGCTGGCAGAGTTTTCAGGCGATGAAGATGATGTGGTTGCAAAGGGGGAATTCCATGTAGGTTGGGCGCAGCTTTCGTGGTGAGTATGTTAGGCTGTGTATTTCACTTCAGGTTCGTATGAAGCGATTATAGATATTTTGAGATGAGGACTGCCTAACAAATAACTGAATCAACTAAAAAAGGAACTTAGGACAGCATTAGCGCAACGTCAATTGTAATAAATAAGTATGATAATTCTGGCTGTTTCTGTTAATGTGTTGAGTGAACAGAGCTGTTTAAGTGTGTAAGTCAAAGGGGAAATAAACAATATCACGAATTTTCAGCATGTGGCAAACTGTGTCAAGACTGTTTTCGGAGAAACACTTATTTAGTAGGTAGGTGAGTCGTTTATTGTGGTGCTGGTTTGGATTTCACTTTGAAGAAGTTCCATATTTGCTTATATTTAACTGTAAAGTATTTGGAACGAGACTTCGTTGACAAAGAATATGACTTATGGAAGATCCGTTGCTGACTAGTTCATACATCGGAGAAGTAAATTAAAGGTTATTATTGGGAAAGTGTGCTATTCCTTTGAGAATCAGGTCAAGTCGGTGGGGCCTCAACCGAAAGGGTTCAATCTCGAAAATCGTTCAACCATAGTTGTAGGGAACTTTCAGACTTATTTTTAAAATTCTACCTGTAAATCTCCTTTGGACACTTTCAATCTTTAGTTTGTCCTTAACAGATGCGCTGTCTAGGATAAATGAACAGTAGTCAAGGAGGGGCCATATGTGCGCTTTATAAAGTAGCACTTTAGATTCTTGGGTTTGAAAGTGATAAAATATAAATCAAAATAATCTTCTGGCTTTAGAAACTTGGTTGGTAACATAGAGAGAGAATTTAAAATCAGCAGAGTAACGGAGTCCTAGGTCAAGTAAAAAAGGACAGATAGTGACTGGCTTGTCGTATATAGTTATGTATGATATGATAGAGAAGATTTGTAGCTCAGGTGGATGATTTTGATGTGGTTTTGTTCTCTGAGCTGGATGTTTAGTTTGCGAGGCTTTCATCACCTTACTGGGTGACATCTTCAGCGCATACTTCAATTTGAAGTGAGCTTTTAGATTTCTCCACGAGTTTATTAATCATCTCTCCTGGTGACCTTGGACGTGATTGGTTGTTTGTGTGTGTTTTCACACCTTCTAGGTTACTTGTATTGGAACCGGTTGTTTCTTTGACTTGAACTTTGACCCTTTGTGTGTGAAGTTTCTTTCTTATTGGTTGATAAATTTTGTCTATCTCGATGTGTCTATTGATTGATGATCCACTGGAATGCCAAGCTTCTAAAAATTCTCTAGAATGTTAGAGAATTTTTAGAAGCTTGGCATTCCAGTGGATCATCAATCAATAGACACATCGAGATAGACAAAATTTATCAACCAATAAGAAAGAAACTTCACACACAAAGGGTCAAAGTTCAAGTCAAAGAAACAACCGGTTCCAATACAAGTAACCTAGAAGGTGTGAAAACACACACAAACAACCAATCACGTCCAAGGTCACCAGGAGAGATGATTAATAAACTCGTGGAGAAATCTAAAAGCTCACTTCAAATTGAAGTATGCGCTGAAGATGTCACCCAGTAAGGCGATGAAAGCTTCGCAAACTAACCATCCAGCTCAGAGAACAAAACCACATCAAAAATAGTTATGTATGGTGCGACACGAAGGCGAGCTGAGCATATGACACCACACTTTTCCACGTTGATCTACATTATCCACGACTTACACCAAGTCTCAATATTATCAATATCCGATTGGATTTTATGAGATAATTTGTCACTTCTTTGGTGGTACTGTGGTAGACCACCTTCAAGTCATCGGCATATAAGAAGGTTCTGCCATGCTTTATAACATCACATACGTCATTTTGGGTATGTAAGAGAGAAGAGCGGCCCTAGTACATTACATTGAATTACGCCACTTGATATAGGAGTGGTACTAGAAAAAGTGTCGTTAATCTTAGATTATTTGTAGTATACAATTTTTAACCAGTCCAGTATATCACCTCTGAAAAACTTATGTATATTTCTGAACTCAGCAAAAGACCTATGGTTCGAAACCTGAGGTTCAAGGTACAAGTTGATTATATACATCACCTGCGTTTACAATCATCACTATTCGAAGAAATCCATCTTTGCTGAATCGTGTGGACAACGAAAACGAAAAATAAGTCTGAGAGAAGAAATTGACTGCAATAAAGCCATTTCTAGCCAACCTGTGCATTTATCTACTTTTCTCCATCTTGACGACTAAAAAGTGTATAGCATGTACTACAAATTACTGAGTCCTGTTCACAATTAATTATAAATAGTTACAGCACTTCGTTGCTTACTAATTCTCCCAAATTTGGTTTCAGTACTTAGTTCGCCTAAGAACCATGTGTAAATTTAAGCTGAGTTGCAGCTTCTAAATAAAAAATTGTTGCTCACATACATATTTTTTCATTCCTTTGCGTTCTGAGTGGGAGATATGGCTTCAAGGTTTGAGGATCCTGCAAAAATGATGTTTTTACACAGTTGAGTTGCTGGCTTTACACCCAACTGCTTCTCTTTTCCAGACTTGCTACTCGCTAGTAAACTAACCGACATTCGGGTTGCGTCTGTCGAGAATCGAACCCGGACGACTTAGGTGGTTGGCCAGCATGCCACCACCGGACCACTGACGTACCACATATATATTGTGCTGTTCGGAAGAGTCATAATTATCTAACTTAAAAACAAACTGTGTATCAGACTTTTTTATGACTTCATAGGCTTTATCCACTCGAGACGAAGTGAAAGAGAGAACTCCTACCACACAGAAACTTTCACCAGGTGGAAATGATCAAAGTATATAACTTAGGCACTGTGGTAGATTTTATTTTGATAGACGACACAGTATTATACAGTGAGGGGGTGATGATCAAAGTTTAAATGATGTAGGTTTTACCTTGGCAAAAAACTGTATACATACAATTTACCATGATTTTTCATAGTGCAATTTATACTACTCAAAATATTTAAGTAAATTAGGTCCATTCAAGTTAAACATCACAGGTTTCTTTCTTTGAATTTTTGAGTTTGTCTTAGAATTCAAGTCATTAAAACAAGACGCTTTGACTCTTTGTATATTCTTCTTCTTTAATTGATGAATACTTTTTCATAATTGAATGTCCTAAAATTCAATAAATAAACACTTGACTATACAAATGTATGCAATTATGCATCTAACGTAGAAATTATTCAGTTCAGTTTGGACTTTCCCGTTCAGCAATTGGACTTAAGTGCTCAGCCTCCATTTATATGTCGGCTGCTGGTGCGGAAGCTTCGACAGTGCCCGAGGATTTCATATGAAGTAACTCTTCGTGGCTCCTGTTGGATAGCTCTTCGGTGTATGAAACTATGGACACCGGGTTTCAGCCTCAGTAGGTACACCACAACTCATTGGTGAATGTAGGTATGTGCTGCTGATAAGACAGTGTCAAATAGGACGAATTTCGAATTCTGGATTCCACTGGTAGTCAAAGTCCACCAAAACGATTAATGTGGAATTAGATTCAACTTACATAGTTTCAGAATAAGTTGACGTGGAATGGTGCTTTGTATAATTTCATGAGGAATAGTAAGTCATTGTATTTCTTGATACTAAGACCGTTTTTGACTCGTTGGAGTAACGTGCTATCTTTTTGTGTGTTGAAGACAAGTATCCATTCGAGATTTTTTTA